GGAAGGAAAACTCCCTGATGAGGTTACTCTGACTTCCATTTCATCTCATGAGTGATGAAGTTGGCCCATAGTTCTCTGTCATTTGCTTGCTGGGTCTAAATGAATATAAAATGAATGTAATAGTGACTCAGAGCAGCAGCTCCATCAGGGAATGTCCCTGTGTGCTTTCAAACTCAGCACGTTGGAAGTAGAATACAGTATGTACTCAACATTAGGTTTCAACTAATTTAATTAAAAAACCTAGAAATTGGTTACTTTTCACACAGTATTAACAGAAAACTCTTTGTCTAAATGCTTTTCATAATTTAAAAAAAACAGTCTAGCCCCATAGTTTCCTCTACTGGGTCACTGCAAACCAAGGTACTGCTGGATTATGGCTTCAAATAATAACTGAAATTTTGGGAAGGAACAAAGTCATAAAACTCCTCTCTAAATGTATTCCCAGCCACATAAACAAGGAAATGGATTTTATAATTAATTCAGAGTTCTCTGGCATGCACAGTGTTGTAATGTGTTGTAATCTACTGATTAAGTTCCAGTAAGAACACTGGCAATGGCTTTTTTTTAATCAATATCTGTCTTTTAACAGCACCCAAAAGAACCTGAAATTCTGAATCTCAGAACAACCATGGGTGGATTGTGCTCATCTGAGCATTCAGTCAACACTTGGAGAGGGGTGAGTCTGTAGGAACAGGGTTTGTGTCATCCTTGGGTCTTGTTTTCTTCCTCTTCCCACATCCTCGAGCACTGTGTTTTGGAAATGCTGTACTTTAGAGAAAATTGCTTTTGAGAAGTTCAGGCTGAATGGGTGTTTGAAACATTCCAGCAAAGCTTTTAATCCAGTAGGATTCTACTTCACAGAATGCTTTGCCATCCATCAGGCCACTGGTCATGGCTGTTAATTAAATGAAAATGCAAAATAAATCTACAGTGCAGAGATACAACGTAGCCAATTAAACATCCCAGTGCAGGGTGCTAATGATAAAAAGTGAATGTCACCGAGGACAACCTGCGTGATGTCAGAATACAAATCCCACCAGATGACAAAATGCACGGCTCCCATCGTGGGTGGGAGGAAGGGAATGGGTGTCCCTGAGCACTGAAGAGCAGCAGAGGTGGTGGTGAGGCCAGAGGGGATGGGAGTATTGGGGACTTCTGTGGGCTAGAGGCAGCTCAAGTCACAGCACTCAGACTAGTGCTGCCAATTTTCTTGACTCTTGATGTGTGAAGCTCTGACCAGTCTCAAGTGAGCCCTTTGCCATACAACAAAGAATTGTATTTTTTAAAAATATAGTTGTTTTAGTACAAAAGAACAATACTGAAGAAAGCAAATGATAGCCATGTCTGGAGCACCTGAAGGACTGTCAGGGCCCTGTGTCTTTGTGCAGACGTCAGGGCATCTTTGTGGAGATGCTCTGTGAAGAGGGATGGCCTCTTTAAGTGGCTCTTCTTGGCAAGGTTCAACCAAATGAATGGCAATAACACAGCAGTTACAGCTAACTACAGCAGCTCATAGGCAGGCATTATAATTTCATTAAAGATCTGGCAATCCGGGCAATCTAAAGAATATAAATACACAGAGTTATAATCTTAAGTTTCATGAAATCAAAGAAAATATTTAACTAAGTCATAAGCATCACACAACTTAATGAGCTATCTTGAGACAAACAAATTAATGAATATTTAGTACTTTGTGTATGTAAAGAGTTCCACCTGTTCTACTTATTAGAAAGGTTAATTTTTTTGAGAAACACAGTCTGATAAAATTTATATTTCAAAGAAAAACTTGATTGTCTTAAGCTACATATTTCAATAGCTCATGAAACTTGTGTTGCACCAAATAACTTCTCTACCTTCAAAGCCTTGGGTGCATACTTTATGTATCTCAATGTGCATTTTAGCTTGGATTGCTAGTTGGGAGCTTCTTTCTTCTTTTTAGCTTTTGATTGTATGTTTTGCTGTTTTTGAAGGTTAGTTGCTTACAATGAGGGTTGTATGAAGGGTTTCATGTTCCTAAAATAGAGAAAATGGAGCAGAAGGGAATTTTAGACTATTGCAGGATGCTGGCCTTTGAAATTTCCATGGATTTTCAGTCCATGGAAATTTAGCTCTCTCTTCATTCTTTTAATAAATGCAGATAACACAACCCTATCAAGGCTCAGCCAAGCTAAATATTAAATAATGCCACTCTTTAAACCAGTTTTGCATTCCCTAGATTGTAATGAAAGTGTAATTCTTTCTGACATGCAGGGTATTAAAATATATTTAACAACGTTCTAATCAATTACAGACTCTTCTTCCCTTGTTTCAAATGAATCCAAACACTCTTTACATATTTGTATGTAGGCATAAATGTGTGTATATCGTAGAATGGTTTGGGTTGGAAAGCACCTTAAAGATCATGTCATTCCAAGCTTTTATATATATATATATATATATATATATATATAAAAGTATGTGTGCAAGCCACTTAGCTCTTACAGGCAAGGACATCCTGGTTGTAAACTGCTGGTTGAATCAGCATCACACAGTGCATGGGTACAGGAATGTCATATATTATTTTATTATATTAGACTATAATCTATTATTACCACATATGTAGGCTCAGCTATTGCTATCATATCTTTGTATAGAGGGATTTGCCCTATACTTTGTTTTCTTATACTTTGTTTTCCCAGCCAAGTATCCCTTCTTGGACAATTTTCTGGAGCTGGAGACAAATCTTGTTTCATCCCACAAGTCAGTATTCCTCTTTCCCCAGCAGTATTTTGGATGAGAGGAGAGCTATCGAGGCCCCTGGAGGGAAGAAGAAGGGAGAAATGCTTGAAGCACAGCACAGGGAAGTAGAGTAAAAGACAGTGGAAAAGCTCTGAAAAGGGACCCCAGCCCTGGGGACAGGCCAGAGCAAAAGTGACGTGTGAATGAAGTGGTATCACACATCTCTGCTGTGAGAGGGAGCTGAAGAACAACTGAACGTGCTCAACAATTTGGTGCCATTTCTGCACGAGTGAAGGTGGGTTAGGACCAGATGGAGACTTGCTGGCCAAAGGTGGGATTGTTGCAAGCTGGGTGTAAATTGTCAGCTCCTGCCACCCACAAAAGGCATGGTAGAGAGATAAATGGGTTGATTTACCCCCACAGTTAGAAAGGGGATCATCTGCTTAAATGATAGAGCATTCCAAGGGGATGTTCACATTGATTTACCCCCACAGTTAGAAAGGGGATCATCTGCTTAAATGATAGTCAGAGCATTCCAAGGGGATGTTCACGTCGTGGCTCAGGGGACCCATGGAAGATAAACACATCCTTCTTGGAAGAGGGAAAATAAAAGTTTGCATACTTGGATTCCAGTGGCTTATCTAGTGACAAGGAGAGTGCTGTTGTTTTATTTCACCTTTATTTCTTGCTTTTCAGTATAAAGAACAATCCAAAGATAAAGCTACTCTGGGGTTTTGTGCGGATGAAGAATGGCAGGATATCTCACCTGGTATTGCCTCTTTGGTGATGGTTTTTAGGCTGTTGGTTGATCTGTGGCTGGTGGCAAGTGATTGATTTTCATACACAAATTTCATTTCTAGTTTTGAATTCTTTTTTTGGTATAGTATTCCCTTGGGACTAAGATAACAACATTCATGGGATTGCCCTGTCAGCAGAGTATGTTCTGCCTTTCCCTCCTGTACCTGAGAGCTGCATGCTTTTGGCAACAGCAAAAGAGTTATATTTCTGAGTACTGAAGGATTCTGGACTTTCCTAATTAACCATGGACAATAATAGTTACTGAGACAGGCAAAAAACGTGCCCAGGACAGAATTATTCCAGTACATGGGAATGTCACAGGATAAATTGCTGCTGTGTCCTGTTGCTCCTGCCATGGGCATTTAGATCCAGATTCTCAGTGGGACTGAGAGACATAAATAGCCCAGCGTGGCTGGGACTGACCTTCCCTCCACTGGGATGTGCTCTCAGGTGAGGGTGCAAAAGCTTATCAAATTTTCAGGCACCTCCAGACCTTGCCTGGGGCTGTAGGCTTGGAAACATGAGTGGGTTTGCTGTGCGTGGTTAGTGTCAATATTTTAAACCGAGGTGGATGTTAGCAGAGAAAAATACAGATTTTAAACACAATGTGAAGGGAAGTCTCTCCTAAAGTAACGGGAGATGTTAATGAGCTCTCTGCAAGAGGCTTAACTCAGGATGTTTTAATGTGTGATTGTGGCTGTTCTTAAAAAATGAATAGACCTATCAGCATTCAAAGGACTATTCTCCTTTCCCTTCTGATCTGGCCTGCCTTTCTCCCCACATCCCCTGAGTCGTCAACTTTCATTGTCTGCTGTGATCCTAGAAAGCGTGAGGGCTGGGGTCGGAGAATACTTTTATTCCTCAATTAGAAATAGAGAGAAAGCAATGAAAATAAGTGAAATGTTTCAAGAAACAGCAAGGGGAAACAAAAAGAGTCACTTCTATCTTGTGAGCAGACAGTGATGATCCCACTAAGTAAGACCACGGCATCATCTTAAATTACACCCGTGTGAAATATTTGAGTATAATCCACATCTCTCTATACAAACTATACACAAATTACATAATTTGGATATCATTTAGCAAGAGGCAGCAGCCCACCCGCACGCAGGTGTGTGCAGCATCTCCACCCTGCCTTGGCATCCCTTTGTGCCCCGGTGCTCGCAGGGGTGCGTGCGCTCCGTGACGCTGCCCGCGGCCGCCGGAGGGACCCCCCAGCCCCGCAGCGGGGCCGGGGCGTTGCGGGAGGGTCCCCCGGGGGCCGGTCCGCCCGGGGCGGTGCGGGGCGGTGCGGGGCCGGGGCTGCCCGCGCTGTTCGCCGCGCCGCCGCTGGGGGTATCTTTGTACCATTTTTCATCCAGCAGCAATTTGGAGTGGAAACGTGTAATAGGGGAAAAAGCAGGGATCTCGGCGGTTTGAGCGAGCCGTGCATCCAGGAGCCAAAAAAGATTAACACCCCTCCGCGCCCCTCCCGCGCCCCTCGGGGCGCCGTGGCGGCTCCGCGATCGCCCGCCGGACATCGAGCGAAAAGGGATTCGTCTGGAGGGCACTTTCGGATCGGGGGAGATCTATTGGATTAGTGGGATTATCAGCCTGCAGACGGAGAGAAGTAGCGTTTGATCATTTCCATTGCCTGCCTGATGGTCGGATTTACATGGAGGTGGCTCGGCACGGATGAGGCTGGATTCCGGATGGGGATTTCCAGCCCCCCCTTCCCGCGCCCCGATCCCAGGAAAGGGCAGAAAAATATATAAAAATCGGTATAATTGGGAAGTGTCCGGAGCACTACTGGGAGCCCTCCCGCTCCCAGCGGCTGGGAGAGCCGGAGGAGGCGAATCCAGCGGATTTACAGCTTCGGCTGCGATTGCGGGAAAGCGGCCGTGAACTGGTAAATACTTTGATGCTCCCGGCGTGCGGGGCGAGCCCGCGCCGGGATGGAGAGGAGGGAGGGGGCGGCCGGGCCGGGATGCAGCAGGGAGCAGGGATGGAGGAGCGAGGGACCGCCGGGATGGAGCGGGCCGGGCGCGGGGCCGCGGGCAGGGCAGGGCAGGGCGGCTGCGGGGCTGAGCCCGGCGGCGCTCGGCAGGGCCGGTTTGCCAGCCGTGTGTGCGTGTCCGCGGCCGGGGGGGACGCGTGCGGGGCTGCGGGTGCGGGGCTGCGGCGGCTGCGAGCCCGAGCGGTGCCCGCCCGCGGGGATGCGCGGCGGCGGGAGCGGCCGCGGGGGTGTTCGCGGGGAGATTTCCACACACGCGTTCGCGCTCACGCACGCACCCCCCCGCACCCTCCGCCGCCGCCCCGGCGAACTTTTCCTCCCCCGCCGCCCCGGGGCCGCCGCCCGCCTCGGGCCGGGCGCGCAGCTCCGCGGGCGCTCCGCGGGCGCTCCGCAGCCCCCGGTGCCTCCCGCAGCGCCGGCTCCCCGCCCGGCTGCCGGGCCTGCCGGGGGATGGCTTTTCTTATTTCTTCAGACATCTTCTTTCTCGCCTGGGCGCTGAGTGCAGGTTCTTCTGCTTCCCCGAANNCCCGTCCGCCCCCCCCATCCTCCTTTCCTGATGATCGCACTAGAGCATCATCTTTACTCGCGAAAGGAAAATCAATTTTCAACAGGTTTAATTAAAATTAATCAGTCAAATTACTTAATATTAATTGACTTATAATTAAAGCCAGAAAGTTACCTTGGAATCAGGAGAAAGGATGTTATCTGGAATCGTTTTAACGATGCGTATGGTTTCAGAGCAATTACATTCAAATAACTGTTTAACTAAAACAAACCAGAGCTTGATTGTAGTGTTGTGTTCTTGCTGGTGCAGGTGACACAATCTGGACTGGCCATTTCGTTCTGTACATTTGCTGACCTTTCGAAGGAATATCATGTTAGTTTGACACTGGGTTTGCTTTCTGGAAGGCCAGTTTGTTTTAGCTCTAACAACTATGGCATTAAAATCCACTAGTACAAAATGGAAATATGCCTTATAGAAGCTATAAATATCAAAGTGAATGTTTTTAGCACGTTTAGATGTTCTGTGAATTTGAAATGAAGCAGATTTTTCTTTTTCTCAGCATAAGTGTAAGAAATTGTTTTAGGAATTATTTTTTGCCAGCACTGCCATCCACTGTGGCAATATTCGCATTTAACCAGAGCCTTAGTGGGACAAGACCGTACTGGTAAATTCAGAGATAATTCACATCCGAAATCATGTATTTTTGGCAATGCTCACAATAACATTTTCATGCTCCCTCAAGACCTAGGCTGGTATTTTTGTTTGTTTGTTTTTTACAGTAGCAGCATTTTTGGTGCATCCACAGACTATTGTTATTGCTGAAAGAACAGTACTGTGAGCTTTGGGACATTTTCCCCTACTTTTCTGGTCTGGCTTAGTTGAAGCAAAGGATACTTATGAAATTGCACGTACTTTGTTACAGGCACCTGACAAGAGAAAGATCCAAGCACGGTATAAATGAGCATTTAAAAATAGAGCCCATTATTCAGGGCCCTGATTTTCAAAGATCCTGATTCCCATTGACTGCACTGAGACTTGTGTGGGCTCAACAGCTGTAATATGCAGACCACTTCTGCATCTTTGAAATTAGATTTGCAGATTGGGAGCCAAATGCTAAGTAGCCATGTTTGGGAATGGTGGTTGGGAAGGATTATTTATTTTTTCTTTTTTTTTTTTTTTTTTCCCCCCCCCCCCCCCCCCCCAACTCTGCTACTGGTGCAGGGTTAAAGAAGACTGCTTCTTCGTTACTTTTTGATAAATGACACCGTTTTTCTTAGGCTGTGGCTACAGACTGCAGTGATGTTGCAAAAGCAGTTTTGCAGTAAATGATTAGGAGATCCTCAGGTACCTACAAAGAGATCCCATTTATCCTGTACCTTTCCTGCGAATCATATGCAGGCTGTGGGAAGAAAAACGAGGCTGAGGATAATCATGCTAAGTGTGCTGGGAAGCAGGATTTGGCTGAACACCTCTGTTTTGTGATTAAGTGAGGTAGCAGCGAAAGCCATGAGAGTGGTTCAGGCTGTTTGAGGCAGTGGGTGTAGGAGCGAGGAGAGGAGCTGCTGTCCTGATGCTGCTTTGGTTATCTTACCCCTTCTCCTAGAGTAGGGTAAGAAGATAATATCCTAGCTGTTGATACTTAAACATCTTTCACAAAGTGGGTTTTCTCTGGATTATTTGGCTGGAGGTGGAGCAGTCTGCTGAGGAGGGTTATTTAAAGACTGGGACAGGGCTGTAAGCAGATAAATTGATTTGCAAGTGAATGGAGGAATTTGAACATGGTAATGGTGGTAGTTGTATTTTTTATCAGTTTACATTTTTAATATCCGCTGGCATGCACGCCAGCATTAACCACTCTAATTGTTCAAATGGAGCCTGGGGAAAAGGGAAGAAAGCAGAGGCTTAGATGTGGTCTCAGTTTGTAATGGATTGGCTTGCCTTTCTTTATTAAAAGCAAATATACATTCCTTTGTAATAGAGATATAAGGCTGCATTACAGACCCTTGGCTAGCTCTGAATTATTTGTTTGATGTCATATTTATTATGGTTTTCTAATCACATGAGAAAGAAATTATTTAAAAATTAAGTAGTGGAAAAAGGAGGGCAAAAGGAGACAGACGTTCTTTGAAAGCAAATAATGAAAATAAAACATTTTTCTAGAGGTCCAGTAGAAACCTCTGTGGATTTCTTTTAATAAAGGATGAGCAGTTATCAATCTGATCCAGTAAATGATATTGTCTCTGATTAGTCCCAGATATCCCTCCATGGTAAGTATAACAGGTGATAAAATAATAGATAATGGTAAAAAATAGGTGCTGACTGATGAATAAAGGCTGTTCTCGAGGCATGTCTCCATTTCTGTATCCCTGGTTCTGAGCTGTGCATTGTGAGGGAGCACAAGCACTCAGAGGGGGATGCCTGCCCTGACACCCAGGTGTTGCACAAGAGTTTGCATGAAAAGGAGGGTGAGGGAGTTAGGGGATGCAAAAAACCAAACCAAAACAAACAAGAGTTTGCATGAAAAGGAGGGTGAGGGAGTTAGGGGATGCAGAAAACCAAACCAAAACAAAAACCCCCCACCTAATGGGAAAACTCCATCCTGTATTGAAAACCAAACCAAAACAAAAACCCTCCACCTAATGGGAAAACTTCATCCTGTATTTCATATTGAGAGCACATCCTGTACTTTTAATAAAAAATAATGGCATTACATTCCCCAGGATTACTATTGAACTAGCAGAATTACAGGGGGAAATAATTTTGGCTTCTTGGTGACTCAGCTGCTCATTTCTACCTGCCTCTGAAGACCCCACATGTTTTTCAGCAGACTTTGTTTCCATAACTATTAATTGCTCATTAATGATGTTTTATGTGCTCTCCAGGGATGAAAAGTGACTGACTGGCTGCTTGGTCCCATGTTCACTTCTGCTGTGCACCCTCTCCACCACAGCACTTCCCACTAAAAAACAAAAGGTGGAGTGAGGGAGCAGCAGCTGTGGGAAACCAGGGGGCACAGAGTCTGTACTGTAAATATCCTCATGGTTACCAAGCCATGTAAAGATCTGGGCTGTACACAGCAGGGTAACATGGTTTTTCCACTGCTGTGGTCAAATAGAACATGAGGCCATTAAAGGAAAAGCAATTTGAGTTCTCTTTACCCCGTTTGTTGAATTCTTCTGTTTTGTCCTCATAATATTTTCTGCATAATCAGTTTTAGTGTTGCCTTTGGGTAGCCTGTTACCTTCTGCTGATGCTTGGTTAGGTCTTTTGCACCATATTAAGGGAGAATGTAATGCTTGGAAATTAGCAACACGTGACTGTAAAATCATAAAAGTGGTCAAGGACACTTTACAACTATTGCATTTCAAGTAACTCATATTCCTTTAACGAAGCAGAGAACTTAAATGGCAATTTAAAAAGATGTTTTCTAAATCTCCTCAATCACATCCTGCCTAAAGAAGCCATTAGCTCACTTGTTGAACTGATTCTGGGAATTTAATGAGGGGAATACATTTATGTTGCATTTTGTACTTTTATTTAATTACATTTTGTCTGAAGCTTTTAGGTTCAATATCTGAACTTAAAGTTCCTTAACTTTTGCCTTCCCAACCCTGTCCCCCAGTTTCCAAAACAGTACTTGAAAGCAGTAAAGTGTTATGTAGGCACACAGTGTTAGAAATATTCATGAGGAGAAAATGACAATTTAGTCAGGAGAAGCCTTACAGATAGACTGAATATTTTGACATCCTCGAGCCTGTGCAAAACAGGCATTGTGGGATGAAGCTTTTGTTTCTTCTACTGGTTTCACAATAATGGTTTATTTAGTGGAGAATCTGGGCCCTGGAACAGTCACCATGAGATGCAGCTGCTGGGTCAGGAAACACTCTGGTCACTGGAGTTGTGACCAGGACATGAGCACAGGGGCACTGAGCCTGGTTGCTATAGCTGAAATGAGTCTCTTTCTCACAGACAGGGGTAGAAAATGAAAAGAGGACAAGGAGCTGAATAATAGGAGCTACACATGAGTCGGATGGAAAGAGTAAATCTTTGTAGACGTTTAATGGTGTTATATTCTAAGCTTTTGGGAAATTTTATTTGAAATTTTTTTACAACGGTAAATATAGTCTGTGCTATATCCTATTTCTATTTCATGTGAGAGAAAAATTCCCCATCTATGGCACAACACTTTACTGCTACCATTACTGCAGACTTTATAGATCAGAGATGTGTCAGCATGTTAGCTTTAGCTGTAATGCTTTTTTTTTGTGAAACCTTATGGGCCTTGCAGCCACTTTCTCATACTGACACTCATAAAACGTTCAAGTTCTCATATTTATTATTTAATTTGCTTCCTTTATAAAGCAGCAGAGCTCTTTGGTACATGAATATG